TGGATCAAAGACTTAGACATTAGAACAAAGATCCTGTACCTAATAGAAGAAGATAAAGTAAACTCAAATCTTCATCATGTTGGCTTAGGACCTGACTTCCTCAACAAGACTCCTAAAGCGCAAGAAGTAAAATCAAGAATCAATAAATAGGATGAATTAAAACTAAAAAGCTTCTTTTTAGCAAAGGAAACACCCAATAACATGATGTGAGAGCCTACAGAATGGAAAAAAAATATTTACCACATGCACCTCAGACAAAACACTAATTTCCAGGGTATATAAAGAACTGAAAGAACTTTAAAAACCAAATAACCCAATCAATAAATGGGCTAAGGAATTGAACAGACCCTTTACAGAGGAAGAAATACAACTGATCAAGAAACATGCAAAACTGTTCATCATCTCTAACAATTAGAGAAATGAAAAATCAAAACTACTCTTAAGATTTCCTCCCACTCTGGTCAGAATGGCAATTATCAAGAATACAAGCAATAATAAATGTTGGCAAGGATGTGGGAAAAAAGTACTCTCGACTTTTTACTAGGTTTTTATTTATTATGTTAACAGTTACAATCATGCATGTACAGTCATGCATTGCTTAATGATGGGACATGTTATGAGAAATGCATCATTAGATGATTTTTGCCGTATGAACATCAGAGTGTATGACACAAAGTTAGGCAACTGAGACACCACCAGGTGATGTCTTATTATGGGACCACTATCATATATATTGTCTGTTTTTGACTGAAACAGTGTTATGTGGCACAGAAATTTATCTCAAACACTTTTCATGTGGATTCTTCTGATATATAAAAACTCACAATAAAAATAATAAGAAAGAGGAAAAGACTAGATATTTTCCTGATTAAAATAATAATGATCAGTAAAAAAGAAACATGAATTTGCCATTTCTGACTTTAAATACCAACCTAAAGATCTAATTTGTCTATAATTAGATTTCGTAGCAAGTTTTCTTTCATGAAACCTCTTTCACTTAAAAGGAATTAGATCAGATTTTTACAAAGGCAGTAAGAGTGTTTGTGATAGATTTATTCAAATTCTCCATTGTTGGGCTGGAGTTGTGGCTCAGTGGTAGAGCGCATACCTAGCACCTATGAGGCACTGGGTTCAATCCTTAGCACCACACACACACACACAAAAATAAAGAAGATATTGTGTCCATCTACAACTAAAAAAAAAAAAAAATTAAAAATTCTCCATTATTCCACTAAAATGTGCCATTTTTGCCTTCCTGTACCTAGTGCTGAATAATGAAGAGACACTGTGGTTGCTGACCACCACTAGCAGTTAAGTCTTATTTACTAGGGCTCAAATGCAGGTAACACACACTCCATTCATTCATTGATTCCTTAGGGTCTGTACTCAACACCAGGGTGGAGGGCAGAATTTATAAGGTACAAATCCATGCTCCAGATGTTCAGACTGGTAGGAAGTATAAGACATAAACTCAAATAACTACTATCAGGAAAGATATGACAATTTAGAGAAGGAAATGAACTAATCTAATTCTTCACCCAGTGCATTGATAAATTAAAACTATATCTTTCAGAAATATCTAAATGACATTCAAAAACTGACCTGTAATTGAAAATGACAGGAAAATTTATAAATCTCCTGAAAGTTAAGGTGGTCACATCACACTCAACCTTTCAATTCTGGCCTTGATTTAATTTAAAATTCTGCTTTTCTTACTATCCAACATAATTATTTTCAACAACAGACTGGGAAAACATGGTCTTGACCAGGGCCAATCACACCAATGTTCTTTCAAGATTTAAAAAGACATAGAGTTTTCAAATATACATTTCCTGTAAAAGAAAAACATGGTCACTACACAAACCCAGACAAACATGGAGGTAGTAGGAAATTATACTTACTAAAGCCTTCACTCAGAGACAAAACTGTTAATTCTGTCATGTTAAATTGAAAACAGCTAAATTTTAATGAATAAACTATCTTATACTGAATATTCTACACTTAATTCAAAAGAAAGAAATCTATTCATCATGTACTCACAACTATGTTCTTGTAAAATTCACAGATGCTTTCTTGACATAGAGTACCATGAGAAAATCTAAGTGTAATACCATGGATAAGAAGAGTTGTAAACTAAAACTGTTCTACCAGAATGTCGTCCAACTGCTAAATTATAAAATTATACTGGAATAAAATTTTAAAAATTTGTGGCCCAGAATACTTGCTACAACTGCTCAAAACACCAATGTAGGCACATTGACATATAAATAATGCACGGTGTGTCTAATTATTACTTCTCAGGCAAAGCAATGTGCATACTGAAGAGAGGACTGCAGGCAGGATGGGATAAGCAGAGGATTCTAAATCTTCTTCGTTCTTAGCATTCTTAGTGTTCCAGTAATTTTTTCAAGGTGTGCCAAGGCCAAAAGAAGTAGCTAACATTTCTGTTAATTATACAGTTAGGCCCCAACAATTTAATAAATATATGTGTCCTAACAATTAACTAGCCATTTGAAAAGTAATACCCATAAACTGAGAGAAATACAGTTTTATTTTGTTCTTAAGAATTTAAGTGTTTTTTACCATTATTTCTATCTAGATTTCATCTATTCCTCCCACGCTTCCCTTCCCTACCCCACTATGAATCAGCCTCCTTATATCAGAGAAAACATTTGGCATTTGGTTTTTTGGGATTGCCTAACTTCACTTAGCATTATATTCTCTAACTCCAATGTGATAGACATTATTATCCAAAGTACATGTATGAAGACACAAATTGGTGTGAATATACTTTATATACAACCAGAGATATAAAAATTGTGTATAATAAGAATTGTAATGCATTCCACTGTCATATATAAATAAAAAATTGATAGAAAAATTTATAAGTTTTTTTATGTTATTGTATTTAAATTTTTTAAAAATTGTTAATGGACACAATATTTATTTTTTATGTGGTGCTGAGGATCAAACCCAGTATTTCATGAGTGCTAGGCAAGTGCTCTACCACTGAGCCACAATCCCAGCCCTGTTATTTTATTTTTTATACCTTTATTTTATTTATTTTTATGTGATGCTGAAGATCAAACCCAGTGCCTCACACATGCTAGGCAAGCACTCTACCACTGAGCTACATACAACCACAGCCCCATTATTACTAAATGACCACATTACTTAATAATGGGATGTGTTCATCTGTTGAGCATTGTACAACTTCTCAAATTTGGAAGTGAATTGAGTACCACCACCCTCATTTCCTGTTTTACACTGATTTTGTGCTTTTTATCACAGCAATTACCAAAAAACTAACTTTGTAAAAATATGTGTACAATGTGTTATCAAAAAGAATGCAGCATAGTCTACTGCTGACACTGGGAACTTCTTTGGAGCAGAGGTTCCATTGACTTTGCTGCAGTACTCAGGACAGCTGGTTTGGTGCAGTTTGGCCACTGAGGGTCTAAGGTAACCTGATCCCATTGCCCTATTTATCTTTGTAAAAGTGGTAGGTACTCCCAAAGAAATGGCTGTCTTTGAAAGATGTGCCTCTGAAGTGTAAATTATTGGTTCTGTTCTTACAAAGTGCAGAGATCCAAATTGGGACACATATTCCTTAGTTATACAGAGACAAAAGAAACCTTCTTTCTCATGGACTCATAAATTATTATGAAGATCATAAAATCTTTGTATTACATGGAATGTACATGCCACTGGGTTCCAATGGAGCTACCTTCAGATTCTTATTTGTTTCTACTCATATGAATGCTTGTTATGATCTTTAATCATACAATCTACTTTATAACAAAAATCCTTTAATACTTAATCCAAAAGGTGACTATTAACTTGCAAATGGAATTAAAAATACTTACTTAAGCAGTCATTTGTTAGAAGAAAGGAAAAAGCAATAACAGAGTCCCCTGGATTTATAGAATAATCTGTCATAGTAATTTAAAGAGATCCTGGATTGGATCCCGCTCCCACAAAAACATTCACATTGTCATCTCTGGAATTTGTGAATAAGTTGTCTTACATGGCAAAGGGGATTAAGGCTGAGGTGAAATCATGGCTGCTAATCAGCTGAGTTTAAAACTGAGCGATTATCCTGGATTATCTAAGAGGGCTCAGTGTAATCAATCACAATTGATTCCTTAAAATTGGAATAAGGAGCTGAGAAAGGAAGGCAGAAGAGAAGAGAAGAGAAGAAGGGAGAGGGGAGAGGGAGACAGACTATGGGAGAAAGTTAGGGAGCAGTGTGACAGGACTTGGCCTCCTCCTGCTGTCTTTGACGACGATCATAAGTCAGGAATAGGGGTTACCTCTAGAAGCTAGAAAAGGTGAGGAAACAGGTTTTTCTCTTAGTCTACCCACACTTTGATTTTAGCCCAGGAAGACCTATGGTGAATCTCCTTCTAACCCACAGATACATAAGATAATAAAGTCACTAAATTTATGTAACTTAGAATAGCAACACAGAACAGAGGCTGAATTCATAGTAATGATAATCATATAAAGAACAGCAACTATGAGTGTTTTGGAAACTAGATGAGCTAAGAAAATTGGCTATAACATACTTTGAACAGGTATTTCAGTAAGCCTTGTTTTTGTACTAATAAAGAAAGCCAAATATAAAGTTACAGGTGTTGGTTCAAAAACATTTAATATCTTAGCTTTTTGTCCTTGTTTTGTTTATTATATAATAATTGTTATGAAGATCATAAAATCTTTGTATTATGCTCTGATATGAATTTTTTTAAAAATCAGCTTTTCATATTATATGAGTTTTGTCCAAAGAATATACTTCTTTTTCATATGCAGAATACCAATTAAAATATTTTTTATTATTTCTTGGGCTCCTTTTAGATGGTATGATGGCAGGATGATTGAACAAGGAAAATCATTGTGTATTTAATAAATGGAAAGCAAAAAAAGTCCTAGTATCAGAGAATGTTTACTTCCGTGAACTAAAAATATTTATTCAAACTTCAAAAATAGCCTGTGCTCACCTGTAGTCAAAGGCAGATGTGTGATACTGTTCAAACAGGTCAGGGTGAACCATGTGGATGACAGTGTAGCCCCAGAAAACAGGAGGAGAAGAATTAGTTTCAGCATACCCCGGATAAAATCTGCAAACCTGAAAAGAAACACTGTTCTATTAATTCTATCTGAACCTTTAAGTTTTATAAATAACACTTAATAACATGCTTTCCTTAAACAATGCAAAGAATTCCCCATGCTTTATTTAAAAACTAGCTATATCTTTGTTTTTAAATTGACATATTTTCTTGTATGTATGATGTTACTTTATATTTTTTTTCCTTATTAAACACAAAATGTCATCTTTGGGATCTATAACTCATAGGATGGATTCTGAGTTTTTCAATGTAACTTTAATTTTATTTATATATTCTATACTTTTAAAACATTCTACAATGAAAACACATTATCCCAGTTTTAGAAAGTAGGCTATTTTGTTGACATAAACTTGCAAAGATGGTTCTCCTAATATTCAGGCTCAGAGAATACACACAAGTGCCTACACCAGAGCCTCTGAGGTCTTAAGTGACATGATCTGCCTGTTCCCCCTTTCCTTGCTATGCGCTGGTTGGATGGCTGTATTTCTGTTTCTCATACGTGCTAAAGTTGCTTCCCACAGTAATGGGTATATTTTGCACTTGTCCCATCTGCCTGGAATGCTGGTGCTCCCAGACCCTCACCTGGCTCTTCTGCTTATCCTTCAGCTCATTTAGGTCTCAGTTCAACAAGGCTCTCCAGGCTCACTGAGTCCTCCCCATCATGGATTTACATTTTGCTTTATTTCACTATAGTATTTTTTTTTCCTTTTGGAAAAATTGTTTTATTTTTGCATTTGTTTATTTATTTATTTATCCCTACTAGACTGTAAGTTTCCGAAAAGCAAGAATACAGCATCTAGGAACACTGAATATTCTATGAAGTTTGGAACTTTCATAGCATTTTAAATTCTCAAATCATTACCTTTTCCCAGAATCAACATGAAACTAAATAGCATGCCAAAAAAACTTTACATTTGCCAATTGCTTTTCCTCACATGCAGACTGTTAAATGTTTAAGGCACAATCCTCTGGCTGTGCCTCTATACCATTTACTTCATCCTTCAGAAAGGATGCTCCTCTTATAGAAAAATTGATCCTGTCCCCAGTATGACATTTCCCATGTTCTTTTCACTTTGAAATTTTAAAAACAGATTTATAATCTCTGTTGTAATTATGTGGCTGTACTTTGTAACACTTTCTATATTATCCTTTGTTTTACACTTATTTAACATGATATGGTTAATCATGTTTGTTAGTAAAAACTAAGATGATTTCCTGTGAGAGCTGATGCCATCTTTTGGTAGGAAAAATGGATGCACTTTTGCTCAGTGACACGTTCATTCTCATATAACAATTCAGAAGCAGAAAATTCTGTGTACTCTGTAAAAGGTTCCACAGATTGAGAGAAATGTCCCTCAAAAAATGCAAAACACTTGGTCTTAATCCAAGCTGGCTGAACACTTTCAAATTTACATACTGGGTGCTAAATAAACTCCCTCATCAGAGAGGCAGGTGACAAGAAATAAGAGACTGAAACAGCGTTCAGGTACAAATCACAGTTGAACTGCAAGAAAGTTTTATAGAACCTGATCATATAAGAATAAACTGACCACAGTGGTCTGCTCTTTTTTTTAAATATTTTTTTTTAGTTGTAGAAGGACACACAATATCTTTGTTTATTAACTTATTTTTTTTTTAATGTGGTGCTAGGCAAGTGCTCTGCCATTGAGCTACAGCCCCAGCTGGGTCTGCTGTTTTTTGAGGGCACTGTCCTTTCAAATGGCTGATACCACCAAGAAGAATATAAGGACCAAATAATACCTTTATTAGTGGTCTTTAGCAACATAATTACAAAAAACTACCCAAAGCACTCATGTCTGTAAGGAAATTCCATTCTAGGGAATCCTTGGAAAATGGGGTTCTGAAAATAATTTTTTTAGTTGTAGATGGATAACAAACTTTATTTTATTTGTTCATTTTTTATTTTTATGGGGTGCTAAAGATTGAACCCAGCCTCACATGTGCTAGGCAAGCATTCTACCACTGAGCCACAGCCCCGGTCTTCTGAAAATAATTTCAAAAATTAATTTTAGGCATTGTAAATAACTAAAATTTGATTTCTGAACCCAGAATAAGAGAAGCACTTTTTAGAACTTCCATTTCAACAAATTAAAAAGCAAAATGTATTCATTATAATTTAACCCTCTAAATGAATCTATCTGCAGTTAAAAATTAAGGAGTTGCAGAAAGAAAATAAAGAGAAGCATGTGAGATGTCACTTCTTATTCCCTCTTTGACCTATCTGGTGCTCAGAATAGGATTTGATTAATGAAAATTCACTATAATCTACTTAGAGATTTAATTAGAAAAATTAGGTATGACTCTTGTCAAAATGTGCAGATCAATGTTTTTTATTACCAGTGATTTCCTAAAAATGATATTTTCTATCCTATTTCTTTAGCCTTTAGATTTTATTCTTATAATTTCCTAATTTATACAAACCTCAAATAAAGAAAATTTAGGAGTTATGGTATCAATTTATTCTTTCATTATCCCAGAAACACTATGCAAACTGTAAGGTCTAGATATATTATCTGTGTCAATTATGTTTAAGTATTTAGTTACTGAGCTGATTTACACATTTTATTTGATTACCCCAAATATGTAATTAGATTCTCTTCTTCCTGGCAAACTTGATTGTCTAATTTTTAAATGACTTGAGAGTTGAAGGAATACTCTCTCTTTGGAAATACCATGAGTAGTTTTATAGGTAGCAACCTAAGAGTGACATTTCCATTCTTTTCTTTTTTAGAATAAATGTAACAGACACTTTTCCTTCTTCTGATTCATTCTAAAAATGTGTTGTCATAATAGGTTAAGATCAAAAGGAGTTTGATGAAACTGGAAACCTACATGAACATTTTTCATCAAAAATCCCATAGGGACATATCTGCCATAAAAAACCAGAAACACATATCTGCTACTGGGAGATTGCCTTCTTATGAAAAGTTCTAGAGATGCTCTTATAAATTATTCGATTCTTTCTTATTCTTGTTAACTATTGATTTACCTTTCTTTGGGTTCCATGGAGATGTTTCTCTCTAACAATATGGAGAGAGACAGCTTAATTACACTGGAAATACATTTCTGATCTGCAAAAAACATTTTAGGAAGAACTACACCTGAGAAGGATTCCTGTAGCAGTAAATTCTATTCATTCAAGTGAATTTCTTGTAGCCTAAACAAGTGCCCTTTTCCAACCTTTGCCAGTTCTACTTTCTCCTGAGTTTTAATGTTTCTTTAGGAGAGCCTATTTCTCTTTGGGCTTTTCCCGCTCTTCTGTCCACTCACATTTGATATAAAATATTCTTACCTTGCCATAGCTATTCCAACAACACAGCCTCCAACTATGGACCAAAATCCAATCCAGCCAGCATCTACCTGTTAATCAAGCAGCAGACACATTTCAGGCAAGGCTTTCATGTTGCAATTTAGAAAATGAAAAAGAAAACCTTTATGAACAATGTGTTAACAGCCAATTGGCAACAGATCTGGGAAATATCATTTAAGAAAATGGACAAAATGAAAGGATTCACATGTAGCTGATTAACACAAACTAATGTAAGTATGTCCTTGATTAACTTTTTATTGGAATGTTTAAAGCAACCAAGTAATCAATGTCATTAAATATATTTTCCATTATGTTCTTCATTGTACTAGGAATGCTTAAGACAATGGGAAAAGGAGAGGAAATGATCACTGAGTTCAAAAAGTTTAAATATCACCAGCATACATGAAACTACTAGGAAATAATTAGGGGATAAAATGTTTGGCAATATCTAAAAATGTACTGAGAGAAGAGAGAAGGAGGGAGGGAGGGAGAAATATGTGGCTGAGCAAGAGAGTGGATAGAGAAAGAGAAGCTGAGTTGGGTTCAAGTGTATAGAATATTCTTCCCTTGACTAAACATTTCCATCCCTGCCATTTACTAGCTTTGTCATTCTGGAAAAATTATGTCTTCTTACTTATAAAATGGATGCAGTGAGATAATGAGTATACAGGACTAAGGTCAATGGCCAGCACACAGGAAGTACTCAATAAATGTCCACATTTGTTATTGCCCAATGATGCTTCTCTATTTATCTGATGTTCTTCATGGCCACACTCTTTCAGGGCAATCTACAAATCCTGCTACATTTCCTCATCACTCATGTACTTTAACTCTTTAAAAAATTAATTTAAATTGGTGAATGACAATTATGCATATTAGTGGGATAAATAATTTCATTTCCTAGTATCTCCCTTTCTCCTCCCTTCTTTCCCTCCCTCTTACCCTCTTCTGTTATATGGTTTAGTTGAGGTGTCCCCCAAAATCTCATGTGTGAGATAATGTAAGAATTTTCAGGGGTAAAATGGTTAGATTATGAGAGGTACTACCTAATCGGTATATTAATCCACTGATGGATTAAGTGGGCAGTAGCTGTTGGCAGGTAAGGTGTGGCTGGAGTAAGTAGGTCATTGGGAGTGTGACTTTGGTGTTTATATTTTGTCCCTGGTGAGTGGAGCTCTCTCTCTGCTTCTTAGTTGCCATCCTGAGCTGCTTTCCTCCTTAACACCTTTCCACCAGATGTTCTGTCTCACCTTGGGCCTACAGCTGTAGAGTCAGCCTAACATGTATTAAACCTCTGAAACTGTGAGCCAAAATAAACCTTTTCCTCCTCTTCACTGCTCTTATCAGGTATGTCGGTAAGAGTGATGCAAAAGCTGACCAGAATACCCTCTCCTACTCTACTGGTCTCCCTTCTAATTTCATGAGATCCTTGATCCTTTGCTTTTTTCCTTTCTTTTCTCTAAATTACACATATGAAAAAAGACATATGACCCCTTGACTTTCTAAGTCTGGCTTATTTTGTTTAACATAATGCCCTCAAGTTTCATCCATTTTCTTGTAAATTATACAATTTCATTCTTTATGGCTGAGCAAAACTCCATTGTGTGTATGTATGTGTGTGTGTGTGTGTGTGTGTGTGTGTGTGTGTATATATATATATATCACATTTTCTTTAAACATTCGTCTGTTGACAGACACCTAGGCTGGCTCCATAACTTGGTCATTGCCAAAAACACAAGTATATATGTATTGCTATAGTATGCTGACTTTATAATTTCTTTAGATAAAATATAACTGTAACTCGTATTATGACTTGCCTTCTGCCCCCATACATACTCTAAGCCTCAATTTCCATACTAGTAGAATGGGGATTAAAACACACACACAAACACACACACACACACACACACTTATTAAGAGTCAGATCAGTTAGTAAATGTAAAGTGTTCAATACATGTTAGTTGCTGTTTGTGTCTCTTAACATCGTTGCATTTGTTTCTCTTCTTTCCCCTTCCCAGGACCAACATACTTGCTTAGTATCTTGTTTCTCATTTCCATATTCCTGTAAAAACTTCTGAAATGGTCTTCAGAATTTATTTTGCCCACTACTGCCAGGATAGTTACCCCAGCTGTCCTTCTGGCTACAGGACAAAGTTCAAACTTGACCTGGCATTTGAGAGTTGTCCAAACTAATTTTTATCTTTTATTACTTTGAATCATACATTGGTATCAGGGTTTGCCAGCTGTCTTTCAAATGTTATCTTCTTCTACCTGGGTACTTAGCTAAATTATATGTGTCCACTCCTGTCTGGTACATGTGACCATGTGACTAAGTTCTCATTGACGGAAGTGAGCAGAAGCGGGGTATGCCATCTACAGGTTAGAATAGAACCTGAAGACAGCTATATGTTTTCTCCATGCTTTCTTTCCCTTTCCACCACTACAGTCTGAATGTGGTCACCGAGAAGCACACATGCATATAATGACAAGGTCCTGGGGGACAGAAGCAATATCCAAGTCTCTAAATCAGCACTAGGAAAAGAATTGTCCCAACTTTGCCCAATGTTCCTAGATCATTGTGCACGCTGTCCTAGATTCTATGTGAAAGAGAAACTTCTTATGAAGTCTCAGAATATGGGGAGAACAGCAGCTTAGTCTACTCTAAGGAATACGAGAGCTTCACAGAGGTTTTTTTGCTATACCAGTGTTTGCCACCAGAAGCAAACAAATGCTTTGGAGAAAGATGACATCCTGAAACTTATATTACCATGAGTTTTTTATAACACTGGCATTTGGGGCAGGAGGACTCTTGGCTCTGCAGGACTACCCCTCTCATGTCAGGGCATTTAATATCCATTGTCTAAAGTTTACTTAATGCTATTAGGCCCCTACAGACATTCCCACTTGTCCTTTAGGTGAGTGGGGTCTTGTGCCTGGCTAAGAACCTCTGTGAGCTGGTGGTTCTGCTGCTTGGCCTTTCAGGCCAGTTTGTGCATTTTGCCTCCTTTTTTCATGATACTCACTTCTAGTTAATAAAATTCTATTTTATAATTAAAATTTTTCTTTGCTTTAATTTAAAATTTTGCCTTAATACCTTTAATTCAAGGTCTCTGTATCTGGCAGTGTTTGTATAGAGAAAGATTCCTGAAAGGGCTTCCTAGGGTTTACAATACAAAGCATAGACATGCAAAATTAGCACCATTTAAACAGGTACTTTACTTTTCCTTATCGGAACTGAGCACGCTTGGAATACCTGCTGTCCATAAAAACAGGTCAGAAAACTAAGAGAAAGCATTTCTTTTATGGTAAAAATACCACTACGTTCTGAACGTTGGTGTCCTAAAACTCATGCATTAGAACTTACTTCCAATGTCATCAATGTCTTAATATTAAGAGGTGGGCTTTAGAAGATGATCAAGTCCTGAGAACTCTTCCTCCATGGACAGAATTAGTGCCCTTTATAAAAGAGCTTTGACCTTGTCCCTTCTGCCATGTGAGAACACAGCAAGAAGGCTCCAGCTTGAGGCAGAGGGCCATCTCTCTTCATATACCAAATCTGCTGGTGCCTTGATTGTGGACTTTCCAGCTTCCAGATCAGGGAGAAATAAAGTTTCTCTTGTTATAAATTACCCAGTCTAAGGCCTGGATGGACTAACAAAAGTACAGTAGTGATTTGAATTAGTATCTGGTGGAAAATCTATCTGAAGAGAGATTTCACAGGGTAATCCAGAATTATGAAAACATGATCTAGGATGGGAAGGAAAGCCAGAAAGACATGCCTAGTATTTGGAGACAATTTCCATTTAGAGGTGTCTCCTGATTTCAGAAAATGTGGCTAAGAACTCTAGATAAGGCAAAGGGGAAAAGGGGAGGGAGGGGAAGGGAGGGGGCACAGGGGTAGGAAAGACGGTAGAATGAGATGGTCATTATTACCCTAAGTACATGTATGAAGACATGAAGAATGTGACTCTACTTTGTGTACAGCCAGAGACATGAAAAATTGTGCTCTATATGTGTAATATGAATTGTAATGCATTCTGTTGTCACATATAACAAATTAAAATTTTAAAAAAAATTTTAAAAAAGAAGAAAATGAGGCTAAGGGAGTGAAAAGTTATTATAAGCCTCATTGACCTAAAAAATATGAATTTGGGACCTGCTTGAGGTGAGGTAGCCTTGTAATAATGACAGACTTCAACCAGGCACTCTGAAGGACCATATTCAAAGAGTAAGGGGCACTGGAAAAAGATCACTCTGAGGCACCAAAGCCTTGCCTTAAATGATCTCAATCCCTGAAACTAGATTAAGGTGATTTGTGTCAGAAAAAAATACCTCACAAATTCTCTCTGGAAGAAAATAACATCATCTTGAAGGTTAAGTTCTTTTACAACTTTTCATATGCTATGTCTAGCACTCAGTCAAAAATCATGGAACACAGAAAGTGATTCAATCCCTAGCAACACACACACACACACACACACATACACACACATACACACACTCATATACACATATATATTCCAATACACAATACATATATTTATGAATTTATTTATATTTTCACGTGGTGCTAATGATTGAACCCAGTGCTCCACTAGTGCTAGGCAAGCACTCTACCTCTGAGCTACAACCCCAGCCCCATAATTTTCTTTATAAATATTCTCCTCTATGAAGTATAAAGCAAGGATAAATGAAGAGGTCAACAAAGATTTCTGTTTATTACATCATTAATTTCATCCAAAAATGTAAAATTCATGGCTGTTATCAAAATCAAGTTTTAAACTGTTTCACAAGAATCTTGATTTTGCAACAGTGATTTAGGACAATATTTTACTCAGTCTTTCAAGCTAAAACCAAGAACATGTAATCAGTATTTATAAATTAAATGACCTAAAGTACCTATTACATATAAAGAAATAAATTACTTACTTGGCTGACATGCACTGGCGTTAAAATTAAGTCCAGAACTCCAGACCAGCCAGCAAATACACCAAGTGGGATAGCATATGCTAAAGCAATCATCAAAAATCTCAAATTGCTGTAAAAGAAAAGTAAAAGAAATGTACAATTTTCTAATTTGAAAATTTTTAGACAGTAGATTTCATTTTTGTTTTATTATTATTAAAGTTTTCTGTTGAAGATATTTAAATAGGCAATATAATTCAAGTAGCTCAAAATTGAAAGTTATAAAAATATGGGGGGAAATATCCCTTTTACTTCTATTTTCCTCTTCTTATAATTACCAATGTTGTCAATCTTGTGGGTAACTGTCCAATGCAAATATATGTATATTTTCCTCCCAATCTACATTTGCTGAACTTTGCTATTTTTTTCAGGGCTGGGGACCTTGTGCATACAAGGCAAATGCTCGACCATGAGCTAAATCCATAGCTCCTGAACCTTGCTTTTTTAAAATGAAGAGTTCTTATAACTCTTTCTATAAACAGTACATAAATACCTTGTTCATTCTTAGAGCTGCATGGTATCCACGATGTGGATTTATCATAAATTTATGTAACCATACATATGAACTTTTACTCTTTTGATCTTATAAAGTCATTTCACATCTGTGCTAGTGCACCCGTAGGATCAATTCCAATGTGCAACTGCCAGGTCAAAGCGTTTGTATATTTGTAGCTTTGCTAGATACTGCTAAGTGTCCTCCACAGAATTATATCTCTACATACCTATCAAAAGGACTAAAATAAAAACATAGTGATAACACAAAAATCTGACAAGGATGCACAAAGAATGGATGACTTGCACTGCTCATGGTAATAAAAAATGGTAAAACCACACTGATAAATGTAGGGAAAAAAAAAAAAACAAACAACAACAACAATCCCAAACTACCACTACTACCTTACAATCCAGCAAACACACTGCTGTATATTTATGCCAGAAAATTAAAACTTACATTCACTCAAAACCTGTATACAAATGTTTATAGAAACTTTTAAGTAAAAGCCAAAATGTAGAAATAACCCAGATATCACTCAGCAAGTAAATGGTTAAGTAAACTGGTACAACCATATCATGGAATACTGCTCAGCAACAGAAAGCAATGAACTAGTGATGTAGCCAACAAACTGGATTACTCTTCAGAAAATTACACTGAGTAAAAAAGGCCAAACTTTTATGTATTAAATATTACTTATATTATATAAGCTTCTTGAAATAACAAAGTTGTAGTCACAGAGATCAGAGTAGTACTTTCTAGGAATTGAGGAGTCAAGTGGGAGAGGGCTAAGCGTGGCTGTAAAAGGACAACAGGAGGGATCCTTGCGGGATGGAACCTTTCTGTATCATGACTGCATCAAAGTCAGTGTTCTGTCCGTGATACTCTACTTTTGCAGGATGTTATCACTGGGGGAAACTGGGTGAACAGTACATGCTATCTTTCTCTATTATTTCCTACACTGCATGGAAATCTACAATTACCTCAGAGTAAAAAATTTAACATGAATTTTAAATATAATGTAAAAATGTAATGAAAATTAGATACCATTCAAATAGCTTTAAAAAAATATATATATATATATATATATTATCTAGGAATAAACCAGAAAGGCCAGGAATCTCTGTAGGGTGGGAGGTCCGTGTGTGTGTGTGTGTGTGTGTGTATGTGTTTGTATGTGTGTGTGTGTGTGTAGGGGGAAGTCACCTTTAATTTAATTAAGGCCACTGAGGATCAAAGACCTAGACCAGAGACCTTGCACCCACTAGAAGAAAATGTAGGCCAAATCTTTATCATGTCAGTTTAGGAACCGACTTCCTCAACAAGACTCCTAAAGTACAAGAAAGAAAATCAAAAATCAACAAATGGGATGGTATCAATCTAAAAAGCTTCTTCACAGCAAAGGAAACAATAAAGAGAGTGAAGAGAGAGCCTACAGAATGGAAGAAAATTTTCGCCATCTGCACCTCTGATAGAGCTTTAATATCTAGGATATACAAAGAACTAAAAAATACCCCTCCAAAATAAATAAATAAAATAACCCAATCAATACATAGGCAAAGGAACTGAACAGGCACTTCACAGAAGAAATTCGAATGGTCAACAAGTATATGAAAAAATGTTAAATATCACTAGCAATTAGAGAAATGCAAATCAAAACTACACTGAGATTTCATCTCACTCTATTCGGCAAGGCAACAATCAAGAATACAAGTAACAGGGGAGATCCAAGATGGCAGAACAGAGGAGGTCTGTGGCATGAAACCAAGAAAGCAGACAGGCAGCTTCTCCACAAGGTCTCGCCTAGATGGAATACAACATCAAGAGTGTGAGAGGACCCCTATACAGCGGATTTTTGCAGAAATCACCAGCGCTGCAACCACCCACAAAGAAATCAGAGCCTCTGTGCTTGAGTAAGTCTCTAGACTCTGGACCCAAAGCCCACAATTCTAGCTCACCCACGGCTCACAAGTGGCTTAGCAGAACAACCTATCCTGCACCTCTGCAGAACTCCAGGCTGCACTCCACTCCCACGCAGGTCACACGGCTGCTACCTATCCACAGCACAAGGCCATCGCTCAGCTTCCCCCACATCATCAGACACCCCAGCACTGGAAGCAGACCGATTCCAACTTGGAAAACCTTCATGGCCATTTTGTGGTGGGCATGGCTACCAGATCAGGTCACCATCTAAGCAGGTATCTGAATACCAATCCCCCCCCCACCCCCAAGCAGCGGTAACTCATCACAGTGACCACCCAACACAAAAATAGCTCTCAGTTGGACCAGAGTGCAGTGTGAACATGGCGCTGCCCACCTGGTGTGAGCCTGGGGGTGACAGGTCCTGTAGTTGGGACCTGATAAGTAAGAGAGGGGAAGGGACTAAAGTCTGGATCATAATAGAGGGACTAGGATCTGGGAAAACTACAGGCAAGAGAGGGAGATGGTATCGAGGGCACAAGTCAGATGATTGGTCACAAAAAAAGACCCATGAGGTGCAATTTTCCTGTTGGGACTGGTGGACAGAACTCCCCACTTCCAGAGGCTCTATGCCAGGTCCAGTCTTCACACCCTGATTACCTACACCATCCTGAGGGCAGAGACACCTGCTAGATGAGACAACCCCACCTACTAGATGAGAAGAGAAAGAAATGGATCTCTAAGAGTATTTTTTTTCCCCCTTCTTCTTCTGTCTCTTCTACCCTTCTATCCTCTGGCCCTCACATCCCCCAACATATGTAAAACCAAGAACTTTGCATAAAATAGGACTTTGAGGACTGAGTCACCTGAATAATATAATATAGAGGAATTGCATAAGCCCCCTTTTCCTTTTTCTTCTCTTTTTCTTTCTTTCCCTTTTTTGTTTTACTCTTTCTTCTTCCTTCACCGTCCAAATTTTACTATTTTCACATCCTGTATTTTTCTAAATACATATGTGTGTTTGTTTTATGTACTCTACTGTTGTCCTATGTAATTGTCTACCCTAAATTACTTCCTGTATATTCCCCTGGAAATAACTCTCTTCATTAGATTTCTCCTTCACATTTCCTAAAATATATTAATTCTATACCGTCACATCTTTTCCCCTCAGCATATCACCCTACGCCTGACACCCAGTTCATTGTCTACCGCCAGAAATGGTAAACCTTTTTATGAAACTACTGATTATATTTTAAATAATAATTGAATCCAATATTTCTGGACATTGAGACTAAACTGTAAATGTCTTAATAACAACAATTCGTTCACAGGTGATGTATTGTTGATATTGGGATCCGTTAACATTGTTCTTCCCCACAAAAGAAAGATCTTGGAACCCTACAAGAGCACTACAAATCTATAGGGTAAAAACAATAACACACCAGATCCACAGAGCTGGAAAGGAAGACACATGAGCAACATGAAAAGACAAGGGAAGAAAGTAACACAAACAAATCAAGAAGACACATCATTAGAAGTATTGTCAGCTAGAGCAGAAAAAATTACAGAGAAAGATTTCAGGTATACATGGTTAAAATGTTTTGGGATCTCAAAGAAGACATAAGAGAACAAATACAGGCAGTGAAAGATCACTTTGACCATAAGCTACAGAAACAAATCCAAGAAGCAAAAGATCACCTCAACAGAGAGATAGAGGTTCTAAAAAAAAAAAAAAAAAAAAAAACCCAAACAGAAATCCTTGAAATGAAAGAAATAATAAATTAAAAACTCAAAGGAAAGCATCACCAACAGAGTGGGCCACTTAGAAGGTAGGACATCAGACAATGAAGATAAAATAAATCATCTTGAAAAGAATAAAGACCATACAGTGAAAATGATAAGAAACCACGAACAGAACATTCAAGAAATATGGGATAGCATAAAAAGACCAAATTTAAGAGTTATTGGGATAGAGGAAGGCATAGAGGTCCAAACCAAAGGAATGAACAAATCTATTCAATGATATAATATCAGAAAACTTTCCAAACATGAAGAATGAATTGGAAATCCAAATTCAAGAAGCCTACAGGACGCCAAATGTACAAAAATCACAACAGATCCACACCAAGGCACATTATAATGAAAATGCCCAATACAGAGAAAAAGGAGAGAATTTTTTTTGAGAGAGAGAGAGAGAGAGACAGAGAGAGAGAGAGAGAGAGAGAGAGAGAGAGAGAGAGAATTTTTTAATATTTATTTTTTAGTTTTCGGTGGACACAACATCTTTGTTTGTATGTGGTGCTGAGGATTGAACCCGGGCCGCACGCATGCCAGGCGAGCACGCTACCACTTGAGCCACATCCCCAGCCCAAAAGGAGAGAATTTTAAAAGCCACAAGAGAAAGGAATCAGATTACATACAAGGAAAACCAATTAGGATAACGGCAGATTTTTTAACACAGACCCTGAAAGCTAGAAGATCCTGGAACAACATACATCAAGCTCTGAAAGATCTTTAAAGAAGAACTAATACCAATACTCTTTAATTTATTTCAGGAAATATAAAAAAAGAAAGGCAGTAATTCCAAAATCATTCTATGAAGACAATATTACCCTGATCCCAAAACCAGGCAAAGACACATCAAAGAAAGAAAACTTCAG